ATGGAAGAACCAACTTTAATAATATTAGTGCCATATATTTTTATCAATATTCGCTATAGTTTGTCTTTATTAAATAAGGGATACTATTACTATATAAAAACTCACCATTGTTCATACAGATACTCTAACAAAACTGCTTGTTTGAAAATATGGATACTACATTAATTTCCAAAGGTAAAATCTACGAGACTTGGGATCGTGACTTCTGATTAAATTATTTTTTTGGTTGGAAATATAGTTAAAAGTTTTGGCCAATTTTGATGGACAGTATTCATGTGATATGACCGATCAAAAACGGTCTTTTTTTTTCAAGTTTCATATGGTCTTACCAATATTGTAATAAAAATAAAAAAAATAAGCCTATAAAGGTAATACGTATCAATCAGGTATTTTTAAGCATTGGAGATTTAGTTAATTTATATTTGGAATTTACAATCAATACTGGTGCTATTTTTTTTAAAGATCTGTGATTTGATATTCAAAATTTTCCATGTCCTTGCGTCATGACACGAAGATTTAACGGGGTGTATGATTATCACGAGCAACACTTGTTACATAGGTCCCTTGTTGTAAATCTCAGCGATTAATCAATCAATTTGATTAATTACAACCGTGAATATCGAATTAATATATATTAATGGATTATTTATAAGATTAATTAAATTACTTAAGTCATCTATAAAGCGATTTGCTAAATCCCAATCTTTTATTAAGTCTGAGTACAAGACTGTATACTCACGTGATCATACGTGCGACAAAAAAATGACTGTCACGATTTTCGAATTGAGCTTTGACGTTGAGCCCAAAAAAACGCATCAAAAATGTCAAAAATCGCATTTCTTAATATAGTCTGGCGAAAACGTGTATAACTACGAACAATAATTTGTTGACAAACAATATATTAGCCGTTGAACAAACAGTAAATTAACCGTTGACAAACGGTTCATTAACCGGTTAGCATTTAACCAATCAGAATCATGGGTTCGTAAACGTTTGGAATTTTTTTCAATGTACGTATTAATTTTCCAAGGGCGTTTTTTTGGTTGTTTTTTTTTAATAACATTTGAAATGTATTAAAAATTCTGTTTCACAGATTGAATTTTACTAATCTCTTTTAGTTTATATGGTCAAAGCAATGTTCATGACGTAACGAGGACAAGACGTAAATTGATATATTCCTTACCAATACTAGCTAAAAAGCATTCATCGTGATAATTTTACAGATACCTATACGTAAATGGAATTTAAAATTAACGATAATCGCAATACAAAGGGATTATCTTATTATTCTTGATACGCTGACTACACAAATTCAGCTTTAAAGGTGTTTTATATTGCAATTTACACAAAAATAGTAACTCAAATAAAGGGGTGGTTTGATAAGGGTTGATTAATAAGGAACTCAAACTTGTAATTAAAAAATGATGGGGTACGTACTTGTGTATTGTACTTATTTAAGAATATTTGGATTTAGTGTAACTGGAAGCTACATAATAAATTATTGTGTTCCACCATACAAATATTGACGCCATAACGCCTGTTGGTCTGATGTACATGTACATGCTTATTAAGGTTTGCAAATCAACAATCGCTATTGTAAAACAACGCTTTTGAGTAACAACAGAAGATTTGAAGATAAGGTATTACATAGGTAAATAGTTTACATGAAAAAGTTAATAATGATTAGCAAAAAAAAGAAGATAGATTAAACAATTCACTAACTTTTCTGGAAAATAGTAATATTCAAAATAACCACGCGTACGTACGAGCATGCGCCTGTCTTATATTTATTTATCTAAGGCAATAACAAGAAACTACGTACGTACGTATTAATTCATTATTAATTTTCCTAAAACGATAGTATCAATTTTATGACGATGAAAAACGATAACCCTTGAGGATTATTGATCGAACATATATTTCCCGGTATAAATGTTTTTTTTCGATATCCAAACGTTAATCCTGTCAATATTCACTATGTTTTTTTGTTAGCATTGACTATCCTTGTAGTATCAACTCGGAAAATTTTTGAATTATTGATAAGCGATGAATTCCGATGTCTAAATTTAAATATGCATTACCACATGACAATATCCCTAAATGTAGATCATATATAAAAGCACGTTGCCCCCAATTTTTGCTTTCAAGCATGTGCTGGTTGGGGAATATTTGAAATTTTAGCGGGAAATCATTTCTGACAGTGTTGCACGACAGTAGCACGACTGCGTAGGCATTGTTGTGTGACATTCCGACAATGAAAAATGCTTGGGGAGGCATATAAAAAACAAAGGATTTTTTTTTTCTTCCATCTTGTTTCATCCAAACCAATCTCTACTGTTACTATAACAATCATTTTGCTCACCCGAGTGAATACCTCTTTTCAACGAGAGAATGCCCCTTTTTGACAATTTTTTTCGATACTGCGTGGATCTTCTAGATGGAGATGTTTCTATAGATCAAATAAAAGTTATCTTTGTTTTGGTCGGTGCATATCCAGCTGCCTTAGGTCTTCGCTTTATACGAATACCAGAACTCCGGCATTTGTACAATATTGCCGCTTCTCTTTTCATCTTTTTAGGAGTTTTTGATCTTTTTGATGCCGTCAGAATTTTATTCGTTAATTCTTTGGTTGTTTACCTCATCATGCTATACATCAAAAACCATTGGGGTCCTAAACTTGCTTTCATATTTCTTTTGACCCACATGAGTATGAGGTAAAAAAAAATTTCTTTCTTATTACTATTTTGAGTTGCGCCAAAGTCAGGTTGTGTTTCATATTGATCACCTGATTTTCGATCAATTTATAAACCGTTGGTTTTAGCGTTCCCAAACTTGGTAAAGTTTCTGGGTCAAATTTACCAAAATTATCTCTAGTGTAACCTTATCACAATTATATTAATATATATATTTTTTTATTGTATAGTCATATTTATCGGCAATTACTTGCAGTATCTACCGCTGAATACGATGCAACAGGACCAGAAATGGTCATTGTCATTAAATTGACTTCACTTGCCTATTGTATATATGATGGTCAAAATTTAAATTTGAAAGAAGTGGAACAAGAATCTGATGATCAAGTACCAGAATCTGTTAGTGTTTTATCTTTTGCTTTGATCTTTTCTTTTTATTATTATCAAGTTGAATACTCACATATCATACCATGATTCTTGAAGTCTCTTCACCCACGTCAAAAATCATTCACAAACCGAATAATAGATAGTTCAATAGACGTCGCCCAATTTACTCCCCGTCAATTGAAAAAAGCCGTTCCTGCTAATAAGTTTCCTTCATTACTCGAATATTTCGGATTTATTTTTTACTTCCCATCCATTATGGTTGGCCCTGCTATTGAATTTGAAGATTATCGACAATGGGCTGCCTCCTCGGGTGAATTTGAAAATATGCCAAATGATTTAGGTCTCAAACAAGCTCTGTCCAAGCTTTGGTTTGGGTTCTTTATACTTGCTATGTCATTTGCTTTTGGCGGCAGGTATCCAATTTCTTGGACATTAACAGAAGACTACAAAAAGCTTAAACTTCTCGACCGGTAAATTTTGTATACTGTATTAAATTTTTCGTGGTTTATTTTTTGTTTAATTATACTGATCCTTGATTACTGCTTAATAGCATTTGGTTCGTACAGATGGCATGCTCTTGTGCCAGATTCCGCTTTTATATCGTCTGGCTTATGTCGGAAGGTTCCATGATCCTATCCGGTTTAGGATATAATGGAAGAGATGGAAAAGGAAATCCTAGATTGTAAGTTCTTTCAATGAAAATAACTTTATAATGTTATAATGTTATCATGTACTTATTTTTTTACTTATAAATAGTGATCGAGTTGTTAATATTGATGTTTTTGCTTACGAAACCTCTGATAATCCTCGAGCTTTAATTCAATCTTGGAATTGTCAGACAGACAAATGGTTAAAAAATTATGTCTACCTTAGATTAAGCCCACCAGGTCAACGTCCAACTTTCTATACAACTTTTACGACTTTTGCCATATGCGCAATATGGCACGGTTATTACCCTGGATATTACTGTAAGTTTTTACGCCTTTATATAAATATTTTAATAGTCTATTAATACGTAATTTTAATAATATGATGAATTTCATTTTTCTTTGAATAGGTACATTTTTAAGTGCGGCGTGCTTAGTTAACTGTCATAGAAGTAAGTGTTTTCGTTCATACCTCATATCATGACAAATTTTTATTGACATGTTTTTTCCTCCTTAAAAAGCACTTCGAAGAAATGTTCGTCCAATATTCTTAATACAACCGTACTCCCAATTCAAATTTTGTTATGACATATTGGGCTGGCTCTTTAGCCAGGCCATTGTCAACTATATTTGCGTACCTTTCATTTTACTAAACATCTGGGATTGTATAAACGTATGGAAATTGAATGCCTTTTACGGACATGTAATTATGCTTTTGGTCCTTGTCGTCTTTAGTGTTCTGGATGGATCTAGATTTTGTAAATGGGTCATCACATACGAGAGTGATAGTGAGGATAAAGGTGTTCAAGATGATGATGTGATTATTCTTGATGATGACAGCAAAGAGGGTAAAAAAGTCCAATAGAACAAAAAATCAACAATGAAACAAATTTGGATTATTGACAATACATTAATATGATACAATTGGACTTTCGTTAAAAAAAAAAATTTCATTGTACAATCTTTTCAAATAATCATATTGTAATATATAAGCAGTATACAGCAGTCATGAATCTTTTTACATTATCTCGTTAATTTCAATCTGTTTTTTGTATTATACTATTAATAATTATTGATTGTAATTACGTATTAAATACTATGAATAAAATAAAATATTTATCTATGTAATTTTGTCTATGTAACTCTATAATATATATATATATTTTTTTTAAAAAAAATATATATATATTGATAGTGTAAAATACGTGGACTCAAATTTAAAGTGCTGAAATTAAAATTAGTGAATATTAAGGTTGAATAATTTACGTTTATTTTAACTGTCGGTAATGTCGATGTTGCATATGAGTGTCGCTAAAAGAAAACCCGACAATTTATATATAAGTCATATTTAAATTGTCGGGTTTTCTTTTAAGCGACACTCATATATAGTTGTATACGTAGCTAATGTCATGAAAGACGTTGCGTAGGCTAATAAAAAGGATAACATATTGTATACACATGTGTATACGTATAATGTATAGCATACATATATGTATAAAAAAATTTTAAATAGGTTATACTAGTTTGTATACTCTTTTATATACGTAGGCATATGAATTTTGAGCCTATCGCTATGTAAAGTAGTATAGTGGGTTAATAAATTTAGTAGCATATGATGATAAGCACTTATTACAGTATACTCATGCGATTAAAATTGACAGACTTTTCAGACTAACATTTGAGTTATTCATATAAACCTATACCCATACCCTAACCATATTCCTAACACATTAACATGAAGTATAGTTCTAACCCTAACCTTAACTATCTGCAGGGCATTTACTAATTTTCACCTACCTTTTCTACCCTTTTGATTGGCTGTACAATGTACGTATGTAAACAATATGTGACAATCCTCTTTAAAATTTATATTTTTTTTTATATCTTTTAGCGAAGGTTCCTCAACGATGATGTAATTAAGCTTAATAAAAAATTTTTTATTTTCATTCCACAAACTTGTAGAATCGAAATAAAAAAGGTTTACCGAATTAGTCCTGGTAGTTATTGAGAAAACTTCAAAGTTTAAAAAAAAAAAATCACGAAAGAGAAATATGGCAACGATCATGGTTTTTAAAATTTAAATGTAAATTTCTCGGTAACTACTAAATCATATTTGATAAATTTTTTTTGATTTTAATTCTAAATATTTATAGTATTAAAATAAAAAAAAATTAGCGAATTTGGATAGGTGTTTGTTGAACGAAGATAATATGGCATAATTTCGATCAATTTTTTTTTATTTTAATTCTATAATCTCATAGAATAAAATAAAAAAATTTGATCAAAGTCGGTAAAGTAATGATTAATCTTCATTCAAATATTTGGTATCTGTAAAAAAAAATATAGTTAAATTTTTCTTTAATTTTTAATTAATTTTCTCAACAATTATCTATTCAAATTTGATATTTTTTATTTTAATTTTATAAGTTTATAGAATTATAATAAAAAGGTTTTATCAAATTTGGATTAATGGTTGTTGAGAAATTATTATTTAAACTTTAAACAAAAATTTATTATAATATTCTTTTTTTTAAAATTCTTTAAAAATTTAAATAATGATTTTTTAATAACCATCAATCTAAATTTGATAATTTTTTATTTTAATTTTATATATATGTAAAATTAAAATAAAAGATTATTATATTTGAATAGATAGTACAAAAAACTTTAGATATAGAATGATCATAACTAATGAATTACTAATTAATCATTGATTGGCTGAAGATTATATAATATTCATCTGATATTTGCTTATAGTCACACCTCTATACAATCATTATATTAAAGCATAACTAACTTATGATTATACAGAGGTCTGATTATAATTCTACTATTAACAAATTAATAGTGCTCATTAACTAAATATCTCACATCTACCCAATAAACATAATCTTCTTACAAACTGGTTAACTACTTGTAATAATGAATAGAAAGCATTAAACTATGCTCGTAATATTGAAAATATTAAAGAAATCTGACAACAAATTAATAACAATATTTCTAAAAGATATAACAAACTCTTATCCAACCCAAATCTATGATTAATAGTATACTCAATTAGCATAAAGACCTAGTCAAATTTGATAATATTAAAACAGAAGATAATATCATTACAGATACACAAGAAATTAAACTACATATTCAACAATACTTTGATAAATAGACAGACTATCGAAACATTAACCAACAGATATTTAACTCTATATGGCAAAATAAATACAGACCAAAAACTAATATTCAAACTGATTGGTATAATAGTGCACTTAGTGAATTCTCTTTAAAGGAAATCTCTACTACTTTGTTAAACTTCTTAACATCAAAGCATGTAGCCTTTCTGAAATTAGCTATAAAATGCTCAAACATGCTGGTCTCTCTTTTTGCAAGCAATTACTGCTTTATTCAACAGATACATCACCTCTAATTCAATTCTAAAACAATGGAAAGAGGAAGGAATATTTTCAATTTTCAAAAAACCTATTTTTGATAGTGATCTAACTAATACTAGACCTATTAGCTTTTTGGAATACATCAAAAAACTTTATACTAAACTTTTAACCAATTGCTTAAACCATATATTTACCAAATATTCAATTCTTTTTCCCTATAACTATATTGCACTCAACAATATAATTGAAGAAGTCTCCTGCAATTCAAAAGAGCTATGGCTCCTATCTCAGAACATGAGCAAAGCCTATAACTTTGTTAATCTTGATTTATTTAAACTATCTCTCCAATATATTAATATACTTACCAACCTCTTATCAAACCACTAGAATAAAGTTATTACTAATCTTGGACTTACCAATTTCTATACTGTCAAAAATAGCATTGACAAGGGAAACTATTATTTAGTAGGGCAAAAAAGATACTTCTGGGACACTTTTTTCACACCACTATATGATATATTGTTAAAAACCAGTTTACATCTCATCCTGCTATATTTTATATCATTTTTATACTCAATAGCTTGGTGTAAATTTTTATATAGCTAAAATCATCTATTTTTTATTTATATAGCTAAATTGGATGATAACTAAAAAATAAATTCCATGTCACTCAACGTCAACACACCTGATATTAGAGTACAGAATGGGCCAGGTTTAACCTGTAATTTTGTAGGTGGGTCAGGTTTGGGCTTGAGTCAGACTCAAATTTTAGGCCTGTTATAAATCAGGTCAGGCTCGAGTCAGGTCTATTAAAGTATTGGGTCAGGTTAGGCTCTGTTAATTAACCCGCAAAGCCTGATCAAACTCGATCTGTTTATCCAATTAGAGGCTAGTAATTTTATGCACCTTTTGCTCCCTATACTTGATTGCATTCCGTTCCTGGTAAGATTACTTCACGATACAATTAAAATTGTTATTATTAACTTGCCGAATATGAACAATTTAGGTAAATAATACCTGTGTACAAGTAATTAGACAAAATTAATATAAACAAGTATTATACAAGCATGCGAAGATGCAACATGTAAAAGTCTTCACACCCTACTTTGCTACATTTAACATCCAATAAAATGCAAGATTTTGTAAATGTTATAAATGGAAAATACTATCCCAGATTTGCTGCGGTTTAACATATTGCTAACAAATAATATATAGAAAGATTCAAGAATACTTATCTGAAATTCCAGGTTTGAGATAGATCAGTTTTTTAAAGCATAGATTAAAAATGTAAACTTAATTAAAATTAAATGCTAAAATATTTTTTTTTCGAAAATATTGTTTAATAATTAAATAATTAGGCAAAACTAACTGGATTCTGTGTTTTACATTACCTTCCCCCCTCCTCAGCATCCCCCTCTCCCTCATAGTAAAAAAATTTTAATAATATATATAGGGCTCCGGGCTATTTCAAAAAATTTTTATATAGTCACGGTGCAATTTGGAAACTTTTTTTCGAAAAAAAATTTTTGAAAATTTTACTATATAAACCACAAATCTTTCCCCCCTCCTCCTCCAGAGGAGAGAGGAGGTAATGTAAAATACAGAATCCAGTTGGTCTCACCTTATAATATAACATAATTAAATTTAGAAGTATAAAAGCAAAATTTTTACAACAATTTAATGAGTTTATCATTGATAAATCATATAATCAATTCATTTGACTTCTACAAAATTTATCATACTTACGCACTTCACAAACCAGGATAAAATTGTAACCCAAAAGTTTCAAACATCACGTGACAAATATATTGAGTACCAAAAATTCTTTTAACTTGAATAAAAAATAAAACAAAAAAGATTTATAGACTAACAAAA